CTTAGGTCGTAACGCAAGCAGTCAATGTAATTATATAGATTAATCTCAAGAAATAGAGCAATAATAATAATAATTTTATAATAATAATAATAATTTTTTAAAATTAATTAATCCACATGCACACTCCAGAAGAGTGTGTACAATTCCGCGTACCTTACAGTAGAAATAAGATAATTATCCACACGCGCGCACACACACATACACACACACACATATATATATGTGTGTGTGTGTGTGTGTGTGTGTGTGTGTCGTATTGATTAATTTAGACAAGATTTGTCTAATTATTTTCAATAAGACCCTTCATATTCACGGACAAGCTTCTTAGTATCCTTATAAAAGGAAGAGAGTAACTTACCATGTCGATACATATTCATTTAATCCGAGTATTTTCGACATTAGCACATTGTCATCATCAGAGTGTTGTTTTTTCTAAGACAAAAGTTTTTCGCGCTCACCATTTTTCTAAGATAAAATTGTTACGTTAATTTTTTTTATTTGTGAAGTGAAAAACGCTAAGGTTATGTGCTGAACGATCGAAATTTCACGATGTAAACGTCAAGGGTGGTAACTAAGTTATGATATGTCCATATTAAAAACTATTATTTATTAAAAACTATTAGTTATCCTGATGAGACAGCCACTGGTATTAGACTAAGATTCCGATCACGCCCTAGTCGTCTGAGCACAGCGGTGCCGGTTATATAGCAGAAAATACATTACTTTGTTTAGGCAGTTATAATGAAGTATTACTACAAGTCAGGTTTTGCTTTTTGTCGGGATATGCCGCCTATAATTTTATTCTTTCACGTTATCGATCATTTTTTCAGGGTGGCTGCAATATTTCCGTGTAGTCACTAAGTGTTACGATAATTTTTAAATCAGATCTTTTGGTTATGGGTTAAATTGTGGTATCGAAAGTGAATCTGGAAAAATCACTTTTATTCTCAAAAACAAAAATAATAATAATAATAATAATAATAATAAAGCAATATTCACTGGCAAAAAAAAGAGAGAATTATTTTCACAATTCAAGATAAGTTTCGGCGTTAAAATAACCCCCAAACGGTTGATAAGACGTAAAAAACAAAATCAATCAATTCAATTTGACTTCATTTATTATTTTCAAACATTCCCTGTTGTAAAAAGATTTTCGTTTTTTTTTAATTTCATTCCAAGCAAGGCGATAAAGCCACTAAGATCCAAGGGATTACTGAAGTAAAAGAAACTGAGAAAATGTTATTGAGAAGAACAATGAAATAACAAGATTCAAAATAACAAGAAGATACTAATTGATGTTGCATTTAATTTTTTGCAGATCAGAATTGACAGAAAAGCAAGAAGCCGGAAGAGAGTTCCACAAGCGAGAACTGCGAGAAAAAAAACACTGAGAACAGAATTAGGATAGAACTTACGGTTATATCTAGCAATTTCAACAGTAAAAACGATGAGACCTAACTGCCAATCTAGTCGCACTTTTGAAGTCGCGGTACCATAAGAACAGGTACCATAAGAACAGGTACCACGAAAAGGTATAGGGAAGATACGTTACATCAGTGGGAAAATTACTGAAGCTGAGATGTCAAGTTAGTACCAGTCGGATTGCAAAGTCTTCATTTGAATTTAAGAATCTCTAGATTATAAAACAGAAGCATAAGACTATATGGGGCAACAATATTCGCCGCACGAAAGAATGGTAAACTTGTAAAGGTGCAAGGTGCTGGTTAGAAAGATTCCTTAAAATACATCCATTGGATGCTTTGGTACACATCATCAGTGATGTTTCTAACTGAGGTTCATTAGGGGTTTCGAGTCTTTCAACATCATACTGATAGAGTATCGACTTGTGTACCTTCCCTTAGCTACAGTTTTTTTTCCATCTTTATAACTACACACTGCGACTCCCCTTAGCAATTGATAGCCGACTCCGGGTGAAGTGAAGGAGGCAAACGCACACACAATTTCTATCTTGTCAGAAACATGGGGGCGTGCTCGGCTTGAAGTGGTAAGTAACGATTTGTTTCTCTCATTGAAACATATACACATATATATACACCTACACATACATGTATACATACATGAACACATACGAAAACGCGCTCAAGAATCACTTTCCATTTCCGTTCATGTTAATCATTCGCCCGAAGGAGAAAAAAATCCTCCTTCCTTTTTTCCTTGACCCACCCCCTGTATGAGTCACACACACACACACACACACACACACACACACACACACACACACACACACACACACATATCAACACCGACACACTCACACATATCAACACCGACACACTCACACACCAACATACAAAACATAAATAAATAAAAGGTTAGATAAATAAATATAAGGTTAAATAAAAATTAGTCAGAAAGATTGTTTAGCACGATAGAGTGAATTAAATGACGTAGAAGACGGCCTAACAATTGATTTGAGGTACTCGTTTCAATTCATGTTAGTGGGAAAAGTTAGACCGAGAAGGCTAAACTTACTTTCTTGGGGGTTAGCATCAGCGTTAATAATGGAAAGTAAAAAAGATTTCTGAACTCTGAGTTAGAATTTTTCTGGTATCAATTGTCAACTAGTCAAGTCCCGACCTTCTCATTTGTTAAGCCCAATTAATATTCTTCTTCCGTTATCTTGAAAAGTGATATACCTCCTAAAATTTGTTAACAACTGTTTTGTTTTCTTCATTTTTTTTTTCACTGAGAAAATACGAGGGTAAATCAAAAATTAAAGTTAATTTCCATAGAACCCTTTTATTTCCACTGCTGAAGAACAAATATGTCATATAGACCGTCTGCACGGTGATGAACCTCTGGTATGGTTTAACTTGCTTCGTCATCCTTCTCGAAAAGAAAAAGCTTTTCGGTTGATCTCGAAGCCACATCTACAACGCTTGCTTTTTTGGTCTCCAAATTTTAGGACACCCCCAAGTCATCATGCACTATGGCTCATGCAGATACATAACTCATGCCCACGATTGCTTCCACTTTTGAGAACGTAATTCGTTGGTCTTCTCTGATTAAGGCATCCCACCTTAAGGATGTGATCTTCAGTGTCTGTTGTTGATGGGCGGCCAGGGTCGGTTTCCGTCCGTTACACCTGTTTTACCCACCCATCCACCTTTTGTAGGATTTAAGGCGCGGGCTTCATATTGCGCTAACATCTTTCTTTGTTTCCATTTTCAGTCCATTGTATATTCAGCATCCTTCTGTAGAACAATGTTTCAGCTGCATCCAGTCTCTTCTTCATCTGTGAGGATCATTGCATCACAGTCAAATAGACTAGTGATAACGTAATTCGTTGGTCTTCCCTAATCAAGGTATCCCACCTTCTGGATGTGTTCTTCAGTGTCTGTTGCCTGATGGGCGGCCAGGTCGGTTTTCGTCCGTTACGCTTGATCTTCCCGCTTTAAAGGGTTCTACCTATACATACACCTTTCACTGATTCGTGTTTGCAAGTTCCTTGCTGCACCAAATCCCGGTTGATGATTTCAGCAGGTTTGACTCACTCTTTCCACAGAAAGAGCAATAAGCTACGTTGTTCCTCGATGGCACAATCGCAGAATGAAGCGTCCATACGCCTGACCTCGTTGCTCACTACTATTCGACGGGGCGATGGAATGCTATACGCCTCTAGTTACCACATGTGCACGCGTGGTGTCACGTATCAGCACATTCCCGTCGTTTCAAAATTGAATTTACTTTCTGATTTAACCTCGTATCTTCCCTGTCTTAGACCAAATTCTGATCACCGGTTAATCTTCGACACTAGCCATAATGTCACACAATCGTATCCCTTCACCGGTGAGTGTCGAATTGGATTATTAAAAATAAATCCTGAAAGCTACATTGAAATCGGTAATTATGCACGCAAAGCTCACGAACAGAAATCAGAAGTTATGTTTATTTAGGTCAAAATGATTACATTTGTTTCACTGTTAATATCTTTAATATTTGTACGTATCGATCATAACACTCGTATAATCTAGTGACTGCTGTTAAAGATTAAGTAACAGGAATTCGACTCAGTGTTGCAACACACGCCTTAGTATACATTATTTAATTAGTGTCAATGATGGTTACGAAAAAGGATAAATACAAATAACAAAGGAATACGATAAAGATATAAACAAAATTAATTCAGAAATGCAGTAAAACGTAAAAAGCTATAGATAATAAAACGCTATTGTTCAACACCATCATATGCTAGATAATGAATCTGTTAACTTTGCACACAGCCTTAAACAAAAGATTTGAATGGAAACTTTATAGAAATTACTAATTATCCCCTTACCATTGATTTTCCAGTCCTTTGAAGATGTTAGTAGATATACAGTTGATCCTGATTGCTTACAGTATTAAATACATGCAAAAGAGCAGGATTCAATTAAACAATTTTATGAAGTCCTAATTCTTCTTTAACTAATAGCTACTGGAAAGATAATGGAGTAGTTCATTTTCATGTGAAAAAAATATATAAAAAAGATAAATAAATAAAAAACTATAAAAAAAACATAAAAATAAAACAAAAAGGAGAAAAAAAAAACTAAATATCTAATGAAAAAAGTAGAATGACTTTAAAGTAACTGTTACCATGCCTCACATATTATTCTTTATTTATTGTGTTTGTCATTTTTATAATTTCTTTATTCTTTAATCTTCTTTACTATGAAAATGGACTACTTCATTATCATTTCAGTGGCCATTAATTAGTTACTTATTACTTTATCTTATGCCTGATGATTACAATGAGCATGAAACTTTAAGTAGCATCAAATTTTGGGGAACAGCTATATAATTCTTTTTAATATAGATTACTTATATATAAAGAAATAACACAGAATTTACTTGAACTTAGTAAAATTCCTCAACAATTTCTGAGACAAAAATGCAGAATTCATTGTGTTGGACAATTCCAATTTTTGGAATTGGAAATCGGCTCTGAGATTTTCAATTTCGAGCCGTTATGAACTACACCACTCGCACATCCAAACTTGTAGCACCTGGTATTCCCAAGAGATCACCCATTTAGGTAATGGCCCGGTTCGACGTTGCTTAATTTCGGTGATCGTACGAGAGCCAGCATTTCAACGTGATATGGCCGTAATCTCTTTAGACCAATCGCACATCACAGATTGCAACACCTGGTATTCTCAAGTGGTCACCCATTTAGGTATTGACTAGGTTCAACGTTGCTTAACTTCGCTGATCGTACGAGAACCAGTGTTTCAACGTGATATGGCCGTAAGCTCTTTATATCAAAAGCACACCATAGCTTACAACACATGATATTCCTAAGAGGTCACCCATCTAGGTGCTGACCAGGCTCGACGTTGCTTAACTTTGTACGAGAGCCGGTGTTTAAACGTGATATGGCCGTAAGCTTTTTATACCTATCGCACATCACAGTTTACAACACCTGGGTGCGCAAGTGATCACCCATCTAGATAATGACAAGGCTCGACATTGCTTAACTTCGGTGATTGTATGGGAACCTGTGTTTCAACGTAATATGGCCGTAAGCTTTTTATACCAATCGCTCATCCCAGTTTACATCACCTGCTATTTCCAAGGGTTCGCCCGTCTTGATAATGACCAGGCTCGGCGTTGCTTAACTTCGGTGATCGTACAGAAACCTGTGTTTCAATGTGATATGGCCGTAAGCTTTAAACAAAAGGTTTGGAAGGAAACTTTCACCATTAAGATGCAGAGCAATAATAACGGTCTTGAAATGTTTAATTATTTGAAAAACTGTTTTAAGAAAAAGGTATCCATTTTTTTTCCGAATCATACACCTATAGAGGATTATGCTATGTTCTCAAGATGAAAAGACAGCAATAAAACTGTTTGGTCTGTGAATACAGAATGTTTCCTGTAGAGAAATGGCTAATTTTTCCTTTACCATTTTGATTTTGATGGACAGGATGTTGGTAGATATGCAGTTGATCCCGTCTGTTTCCATTTCATTCCGAATCATACGCCTATAGAGGATTATGCTATGTTCTCAAGATGAAAAGACAGCAATAAAACTGTTTGGTCTGTGAATACAGAATGTTTCCTGTAGAGAAATGGCTAATTTTTCCCTTACCATTGATTTTCAAGTACCTTGGACAGGATGTTGGTAGATATGCAGTTGATCCCGTCTGTTTCCATTTCATTCCGAATCATACGCCTATAGAGGATTATGCTATGTTCTCAAGATGAAAAACAGCAATAAAACTGTTTGGTCTGTGAATACAGAATGTTTCCTGTAGAGAAATGGCTAATTTTTCCCTTACCATTGATTTTCAAGTACCTTGGACAGGATGTTGGTAGATATGCAGTTGATCCCGTCTGTTTCCATTTCATTCCGAATCATACGCCTATAGAGGATTATGCTATGTTCTCAAGATGAAAAACAGCAATAAAACTGTTTGGTCTGTGAATACAGAATGTTTCCTGTAGAGAAATGGCTAATTTTTCCCTTACCATTGATTTTCAAGTACCTTGGACAGGATGTTGGTAGATATGCAGTTGATCCCGTCTGTTTCCATCTAATTCCGAAGCATACACCTAAGGAGAATTATGCTTTGTTCTCAAGATGAAAAGACAGCAATAAAAGTCAAGCTGGGATCTGCGAGACTAGCGGCCTTCCGATTGCAGCACGCACACAACTGTACTAACTTGCGACGACCGTGTGCATAACTATTACTTCCTTGCTTGTTGTACTGGTTTCTACAATAAACCCGTTACTATTTATCCAGCGTGTTTGTCCATTCCATATTCCTATTAGCACGGAATATAACACTAATTTTCCCCTTACCATTGATTTTCAAGTACCTTGGACAAGATGTTGGTAGATATGCATTTGACCCTGTCTCTTTGCAGTGTTAAATACATGCAGAAGAGTATGATTCAAATAAACAACATTATAGAAAGCGTGCAATCTAGCAGAATTACGCTAAGGATATATTTGTCCAACAGCATCAGACGATACAAGATCAAAATATTAACAAAATAGCATTTTTTTTTTTTCAGATAAATTATGACAAACCTCAAGCTCAGTAAATGGAATGGCACGCTGTATTCGTTGCATTAAAGACAGAGCATAGGGATTTAGGGTTTGTTGTCAAAGTTAGCAAAGAGCTGGAAGATAATGATGGACATTCCCCAACACTAGCCTAAGGTAAAATGCCTCCTAAGGGAACTAATACCCACTGAACATTCAAATTTGTACAAAATTATCGATAAGCACCGTAGAAAATTAATTAACGCCGTTAAGATATTTGTATAGGATAATTACCGTATATTTCCATGTATAAGGCGACCTAAGAAGAGATCCCAAATCTAGGTAGATTTTCGTGATTCTATCCAATATCCGTAATATAAGATGATAGATTGGCTGATAGTGTTAAACACATACAGAAGAGCAGGATTCAAATTATCAACATTATAGAAAGCGTGCAATCTAGCAGAATTACGCTCAGGATGCATTTGTCCAACAGCATCAGATGATAAAAATCCAAATATTAACATCAAAATTCAAGTCATATTTATAAATAACCTCATGTAATCTAGACTAATATGTATTGTTGATTAGCATCCAACTTGTTCAGGAATATCTAAACGATGTTGTATACAACATTTTTCTGAAATCAATGATTAAAAATGCTTTCAAGCGAATGAATCCTGTGGATCTTAAAGAAAACGATCCTTCATCGGATCTTATAGTCTGGCGATACAGAATTACCAAATAAGAAAAAAAACCACACCACTTAAAGATTTCAAGAGCAATAACAAGGATAAGCAACACAAGCCATTCGAAGGGAAAATAATGATATAATAAAAGAAATTGATTTTCCACACTAAGAAGGAAACTCCCATTTATAATAGTGTTGTGGTACGATCCACCTAATTTACATAGTGGAGTACCGACCATATAAATATGGGTTGGTACCGGGAAGACGAGGGAAGTAACAAGAGATCCAATCCAGAGACTCTGCCCGACTACGATTAAGTCAACCCATTCTACAGGAACAGTCTTCCCAAGAATATACCAAAACTAACTGTAAATATTGTGTACCTTTTCCTTGTTTCAATACATTTTGTTTACGTACATTTTGTGTTGTATTATTATTATTCCATGCTTATCCAAGCTTCAACAAATAGAAAGAGCGATAACAGTTTATGAAATTTTTTCTTTTTTTATGTGCCGTTTCCATTCATGACCCTCCACCTCTTCCTGTTCCATGTAGATCTTAATACGTCTTGTCTTTTGTTATTTCCTCCAAACCCTGTTCTGCCATTCATTTTTTTCTAATCCATCACGCGTACATAATACAAGTAATAACAGAAAGACTTCAATGTAAAATAATAAAATATTTAATTATCAAACGCAATTAAAATACATTAACAACAAAGAAGTAAAGAGTCAAAGATTATTGATTACTTATCAGTTAATACTCGACTGCATAGAGCTGCTAAGAAAAGTATTAATATTAATATTAACCTTGGGTATGACGATAAACTACATCCGGCAGCGAGAGATAAGAGGTTTTGAAGAGAATGAAACCACCTCTTAATTGCTATTAGTCCACCCTGGACCAAGGTGGTAGCACCTGTTAGGGTCCCAGCTATGGGCAAATAGAAAACCAAAAAACAAAACTCTATAAAAGTATAAAAATAGATTTTTATAGTAAAAAATACCAGCAATACATTTAAAAAAAAAATATTATTAACATAAATATATATTTGTACTAAAATTAGCAAAAAACATCTGTTTATAGTGAAATTACCAATAATATATATCGAAAAATGACCAACAATACATTTTATCTGTAGTTGAAGGCATCCAATTGTATTCAAAATATTTAGATTTCGGCATTAAATAACCCATAGGGGTTGATATGACGCTAAACAAAATCAAACCAACTAAAGCAAAATATAACTTCAACAAAACTACAACATAAAACACGCATATCACCGCCTCTAGTAATGATGTCCACACAAATGCACAAAAGCTGAGTATCACCTACCATGCATTCAATTGTGAAGGTAGAATAACAATATCATATTTTCATTACTTTAAAACCTCCCAGAAAATTAAATTTCGGCATCAAATGACCCATTAGGAGGTGATATGCCATTAAACATACCAAAACTCACAAGAAAATTAAATTTCAGTATCAAATGACCCATAAGGAGTTGATATGTCATTAAATAAACAAACCAAAACTCACAAAAAATTGAATTTCGCTATGAAATAACCCATTAAGCAAACAACTCAAATAAAATTAACATTAAATGTAATAAAAAAATACGAAAGTCCATTCTATATTATGAACATTTTTTCACTTTGTATTCTGTAAATATCGGCGAGTAATTTTTTTTCACATCATTTTATTTATTTTGATTAAAGAAGTAATCACAATCATAATTTTCGTACAACGTACAATATCGTCTTATTGGACTTTTTGCGATTTTATAGATAGTATTGTATTTAGTGTTCTTATATAGCCTCATCAGGTCAAGACTTATATATGGATGTCATGCATGGCACAAAACTCGTTCAACAATATCTAAAATGTCAGTTGTATAAAACCATTTTCTCAGATTAATGGATAAAAATGACTTAGAGTTGATGAAGCCTGTAGGTCTTAGCAAGGGCCAACCGTCCTCGAACATCATGGACTGTCGCTACACAATCATACACAAAGGACCTACGCTAAATAATAGGAACCATATCACTTGAGGACATTCAACAGGAGCCACAAGTAAAAAGGATACAACTTGAAGAGAAAACAATGACATAATCAAGATGTTGACCTTCCACACTACTCCGAACAAAAGATTAGGAAGGAAACCTTCATCAATACTGGAAAGAGCGATAATATTGGAAACTTAGGTTCATGAAAAATTGTTCTAAGAGAAAGATTTTATCAATTTCACCCAAAAGTAGCACTGGCCGTTCGGTCAATGAATTTCGAATGCTTCCTTATAAAAAAAAGACGGTTAACATCACCATTACAATTAGATATGAAAACAACAAATTCTAGACTTTGATCCCAATTTCATGGCCAGGGAATAAAGAAAAGCCTAATTAGAATAGCACTAGCTGTTTGATCAATGAATGCCAAATTCTACCTTATAAGGAAATGGCTAATACAAGGTCCAGGAGCCACTGAAGCTATAGAGTTACTAAGTGCGATTGTTGTAAGAGAGTGAATAGGAGGTGGTAAGAAATGCATATTATGATAAATATAGGATGAACGTGGACTTGAAGAATGGTTAAGATTTGTTGTATTCCGAGCTAATAGGAATATATACTTGAAAAACAAGGTGGATAAAATAAATACAGGTTTGTTGTAATAAACCAATACAATAAGAATAAAGGTAACAGTTATGCACAACGTTGTCGCAAGTCAATCCAGTAGTAAGTGCTACTTGGAAGGTTGATAGTTATCGCGTAATCTGGGTCGTACTCAACAGATCCCAGATAGACGGTATCTAGCAACTGCCCCACGCAGTCACATGTGGCACAAGGCCGAATTTAATGTGGGGTTCCCGAGCCCGTAGGCTCTGCCAAAAAATCTCCATAGATCCCGCATAAACGGGATCGGTTCTGTCTACCTCCCCGAATGAGACTCTGCCCTTCGGCATAGCCTCGTCTGTGTTCCTCTCTGGC